TAATTCCACCCCTAACTTCGATGACCATCAAGTGTAATGGATTCCTTGACAGTGGAACAATATCATATTTTACTTTGATGATCATCAAATGTAATGGATTCCTTGACAGTGGAACAATATCATATTTTGGTGCTCGGAGCACATAATGAAAAAGCTATGCCAAAACAAGTGAATTGAGACCATGGAGCTTTATTAAGAATTCTGAACATTTCAGCTGTTTGATCTTGCGGACTAGACATAAGTTTGAAACAAACATAACAAAAATGCATTATCTACAACAAATTATTTTAGCTTTCTTGGTTTCTTCTCTTCGCATACTCCTTAATCATCTCGATCCAATTGTAAATATTACTTCGACAGTCCAAAAAACTGAGCAAAGCTTGGATACTTCGGCTCCCATCCTATTTCTGCTCGTGTCCGTGAGTTGTTCAGCTTCTTCCCTAAAGGACCACTAGTGCCTACAAGAAAGCAAAGTTGTCAGACTCTATGAAGCTTAAGGTTTCCCAAATGTCAATGTCCGAAGAAACTCACTTGTGAAACCTTTGAACTTCTTATCGAATTTTCCGCTTTGAGCCATCATGTCCATCACCTCTTGCCTGAGAAGAATGCGTGAGGTCAAACATGTGAAAATGTCGAATGTTTGAAATATCTTCAAAGTTAGAAAGAAAGCAGAGTTACCTTGACAAAGGATGGTTGTCACAGCCCAAGAAAATTCGACCACCGGCTTTCTTCTTCATGATTGCAACTGCCAGCGATGCTGCATCCTGTTCAGAACACATTACAAAACCAGATAAGAGACTATGTAGAGTACAATGCCAATGTCAGAGAATGAGATATCTTATAGTACATCTGCAAACCAATCATAAGCACCATTGTACAGAAGAAAGGAGTGAAGAAAATTACAAATATACCTCATAGTGGATGAGATTTAGGATATGATCAGGACGAGCATCGACTGTCTCCTTGCTCAACCAGTAAGTATGTGCACCTCTAGTCTCGGTGTATAAAAAGTTCAGGAGAAACATAATGCTCAAATCTTCTAGAGACCAAAAAAGGACTTTCAATAATTGCTGATTCAGTTTCAATATATCGAAATCCTAAAGGATATGTAAAGCCCTGCTAGTCTAAGGACAGTCCCTCCACATTCCAACACTACTTTTTCAGCTCTCAAAAGCACATCGGTTCTTGGGCTCTTTCCCAGAGGCACTACTGGAGAATCCTGCAGACAGTGAAGGGGAACCAACTTAAGCAATTCTTATCGGATAGCGCATATATAGTCACAATGAACAAGAATTTGCAGTATGATCAAATGTACAAGTACTGAGATAAACCTCGTTGCATTCTCCGTTATCGAAGCAATCATAAGGTGCAGAACTAGATGTGAATAAGAATGATCCTTCGCCATTCCAGTTTGATGCCGCCATACTGATTTGTTTGTAAACACAAGCACAGACCCAAATCAGACAGTGTTGAATCAAGGCAAAAGTTAACAGCATGAGAGACCTTTTCCGACATTCAGTAGCAGAACTTAACGCACGGTATTAGACAAAAGGCGTTGGGAACACAATCCATAGGCTCTCCAGTTGTTGAAACAAGTGATTACCTGAGCTCAGCGGCGTAATCTGGGCTTTGTGATGGAGGAGCACAAAAGATCACATAGGAGAACTTGCCCTCAAATTCAGTTCCTTTAAGAGTTGGTTTGATACCCAACTTCTCCAACTCATCATGATGATTTGTTGTTACTGTCTGCCCAAAGATTTGACAATCTGTATGTTCCTACTCCACATATAAAGCAAGTGAAAACATCACTCTCATAGTCTTATTTATAAACATTGTGAAAATGATGCATCAAAAATGTTGTAGACAAATACAGAAATTATACCTCTCTCCATTGTTGTGCAACTAAGCGACCAAGAACACCAGGTCCAACAATCAGCAAATCATTTGCTCCAATTGAAACATGAGACTGGACCTTCAAGCCATCACTGGTCTGACCTGAGAAARGGCACAAAAAACATATAAAATGGTCACCAATTGAATCACATAATCTTAAAAGTCAACGAGAGGTTCACTAATCTTTAAAAGCGTGGAATCGAGAAATATTCAAGAGAGTAAGGATTACCAATGGTGGAGGAAGAAGAGGCTTGAATAGGAGTGGCCATAATCGAAGAAGACGTTGATAGAAAGAATGAGAAATTGGGTTTAACCTCTCGTCTCAAAGCAAAGTTTAGCGAATACGAAGAAGATGATAAAGTTGATTGCTTTGAGAAATGGGTCGATGGAATTCTTGAATTGACCGTAGGAAATGAAGTGCAGGAGATGAAACCCATCAAGGAAAAACAGAGAGAAAACGAAAAAAGCTTTGCTTTTGACGAAGAAGATTGAGAGTTAGCGCAAGCGAAAGAGTTTGGTGGATTCTCCGTGAGAATTTGGTGATTGGTGCTCTTGTAAAATGTAACCAATAATATGTTTACATGTCACCAAATCCAATACTATATAGATTACTTTGTAAGTTTGTATACTTGTTTTTTTTAAAATTATAAAGAATGACTTCTTCTTATAGATGGGCGTTTACTAACTTGCGACATTCTCTTCTTCTTCTTTTTTTTTTTTTGTAAAAGTTGTGCATCTGAAATTTCTTCTCATATATATTTTCTAAGTTTATAGGAGTCCAAAAGGAATGACATATGCTTTATATATTAAATGTTATGAATTCGATAGTTTACACTGTTTCTGCCTACTAAAAATCTCTTCACATGAGCTCGGCTTCTTCGGTGTCTCCATCAACATCTTCAACATCGTTCTCGTCATTCTCATCCGCTGCATCTGGGTCTATTCCCTGTAATTAAAACCCCAAATTGTAATGCATTAAAGATCATTGTTCGTGCTTCATATTTGATTCGATTTGGTTCCTACTATCGAAGCAGCCAAAGAAAAATAGAAGAAGAAAAAACTGAAATGTAGGTTGACCAACCTTCATCTGCTTCTCCAAGCGATCTAGTCCCTTTTTCGCTGCCTCATTCTGTGGATTTATTCTGCATTTACATGTTAACACTCATTATAGTTTATTCGCATAGAAAAAAAAAGAGAGAACTATAGGCAGTACTGGTTCAGAATCTTCCTTATATACCTTAATGCAGCTTGATAGTGTGATAAAGCATCTTGCAGCATACTCGTTGCAGCAAACACTTGAGCTAGCTTGACATGGAGAGAATCATCAGCCCAGTCTTTGAGATACCGTTCAAGTAGTGATACAGCATCTCCGTTCCTCCCTTCCATTAGATGAAGCTCAGCTAGAGCTAAGGCAGCTCCAAGGTACCCAGGTTCAAGCCTCAGAGATGACTCGTAGAACTTTTTTGCCTGTTATAAAATCATATCACTACTCTGTTACACCAAAATCCATTCAAGCATAATAAAGCTGACTGTATTTAAGACTGTTTTTACCTTTTCCCTGCCACTTGATGTATTAGCATGAACATCACCAACTAATTTCAGAACCTTTGCGGACTGAGGCATTGCATTCATCGCTTCTCTAGCGGTATACAATGCTTCTTTGGTTTTACCAAATGCCAGATAAGAATGCACTAAGCCTGAAATGATCTCAATAGTGCAAGTTAATTCACACTCCGACCTTTTCATGCTTTTTAAAGGGTTATACCACCACAACAGTACAACAATGGAATTATGGAAGTGTATATCAGTTTTTTGTTTCCTTTCTGAACCAGACCTTGAAATGAACGAAGATCAGACCTCAAATTCTGGGCAGCCCTGAAAGCGATCGCTGCGGCTTCTGGCCGTTTTGCTAGTAAAAGAAGATTTCCCTGAAATATATAATATAGCTGATATATATGCCAAACTATTTTACAAAACAAAATCCTCATTAAACTAGCTTACCTTCATTATGTACCCAGGTATGTGCCTCTCGTCTACCCTGATACTCTGATTGCATAAGTGAATCTCATCAGATATCACAGAAATATTTAGCAGAAAAATTCAGTGTCAGCGAGCTAACCTTCTCAGCATAAGATAACGCGGTCCTTGGATCTTTCCGTTCCCATAGTACAGACAAAGCAACAAATACTTCTGCTCTGGTATGATCAATACTTAATAAATCGTGGACAAGCTTGTTTAGTCTGGAATAATCGCACTTTATCTGCAGCAGCATCGCATACTCATCCATACAGGTTACTGTGTAAGGATCGATGGATCGAACCTACAGAAGCTTTTATATTATTATGCACATTCCATTATTTAAAGAAGATGAGACCAAAATATTGAGGCAGTGACTACCTTCTCAAATCTCATTATTGCCTCATCATTTTTTCCAATAATGGCTTCGACCTATACAAATGAAATAATGAAGAGTATCAGCTACAAAGTTATGTCAATCAGCTTTAGGTAGTACGTCTGTCATAATAATAAGAAGAAAAACTCAGGGGTAATTATGTTTGCATCGTTGTCAATGCCATCCCTAACCTTGGCAGTCTCAGTCAACAAGTGTACGTTATTTGGAAATCGTTGTAGAAGTTCAGCAAAGAGTTCCAGCGCCCCTGAGTAAACACAAAACCATTACACACTATCCAGTAAGGCATATCTGACTAATCATTGCAGAATTTCCCGCAAATTAAAAGCAAGAACTGAGTTCTACAGGGTTAGACACAAAGACCCATAAGCCATAACTGATGCACGTAGGCATGTGCATCCCACAAAGAAAAATAAAGCTACCTTTGTAAGCATGTGAAGCAACACAACACCGGGCCTCAACATAACGCTGTGAAAACGAAGAAAAATTACCGAAAAAGACAAAGAAGAAAATAAATCTTATTGCCAAATAAGCTACAACACATAACATAACCCATGAAACAGCCATCCAAGAAAAGGTATATAAAATATTAGTTCACTGGTTCAATAGTCGAGCTGATGCTAACACAAGATCATAAAAGCACTAGTTTATTTGAGGGAATACTATCAAGATGATTATATTCACTTTCCACTCATGAGCAGCTTCTCCCTATGTACAAAATGTTTAGTTCCACTGGATTTGACATTCACCTAGTCCTTGATGAAACAGTTCTTAGAAACATTATATATAAAGTTGTATTCCGGAGAACATAATAGATCAATTAGACACTAACTCACCCACAATAATCAGCTTGGCCGCACAGTTAATGAGTTTGCTTTCATATTTTCAACTTGTAAATACTGTTAAAGAGTATACTTACTTGCAACCAACGGGTGGGATCTATCTGATCGAGCGAAACCTTTGCACTTCTATTTGGAGTCTGAAATGAACAAACGACATAACAAATTACATAGTAGTATGGATTTCACACCGCAAAGGTAATTGCAAAACAGGTAGAAAGAGATGCAAATATATTGAAAGAAATGGTGAAAAATAAAAGCAATTGGCAAAATAAATCTTGTAGAAGGGACACCTGAGTAAACGCTGATATGATATCCTTTGCAATGACTCCCAGTTCAGCTAAACCTATGATGGCTTCGAGCACATAAGGACACTGCCTGCAGAGATTAATGTGAGGCATTGTGACAGTATTTATATGCTAGGAAATGTTGGGAAGAAAATGAAAAACAAACCTTAAACACTCTTTATAAAAAGCAATCGCACCACGGTTATATCCAGAATTTCGATGAAGCTTTGCCATCAATATATTCATCTCCAAGCTTCGGGTCTTGACAGATTCCATCTGGCAAAGTAAGAACAAGTGCAATAATAGATTATAACTATAGCAAACCATGGCTTATCATCCCTTACCCATACATGCAGTGTTGAAAGCAAAGAATCCAATTACTTTTATTTTATTTGTTTTGTATTAATAGGCGCTGAAAGGAGGTCAACACAACATAATTCACCTCATATTCAGGAATACTGAAACAATCCGTCAGTTACAGCCCAATAATGTTTTACAGTACCTAAACTCTGGTTATAAACTACAATCGAGAGATATAAGTCATTATCAACAAAACCAATCAGAGAAGCAGAGAAAGCCCTGGACAGTTCTTTTCCCGTCTAATACGCATATTTTCTTTTCTATGTACTAATGTTTGTGGACAAACAATCCAGAAAACGAAATAACTCTTGATAACCAGACAGGAAGATGGAGAAGACAGACACATACCTCAGCAATAGCAGCTTTTGTTTCATTAAGAGCAAAGTGAGATGAAGCAATCTTGAATCTCACCTAAGAGGAACGTTAGAAACAGAAGACACACATGAACTCCCATAGAATTAAAATCAAAGCACATCATTTTCTGGAAACTGCCAAAACCAAAAGGATCAAGAAGAAACAAACACACTAATTATACCTCGTTCTCATTAATAGCAGAAATGCCAGAGGTATTCACAGATGATCTACTAGATAAAGATAATGAACTCCTCGAAATACCGGAGCTTTGCTTCGGAATCCTTGTATAATGATGCAACGCTTGCTTGTACGTATGCTGATAAAAAAGAAGAAACACACATTCATAATCTGACATGACTACACGGCTTTCCTCCAAAGTTCCCCAAAGGAAGAGAAGAATAAGCAATACAAATCTGAAATTCATCCCAAGCATTCTATATAAAGTTTGAACTGGAGAAATAAAGAAATTATACTCTTATTGAAAGATATAACAAGATTAAAGAAAGAGCTAAGTCAATCTTACAATAGCTCTCCTGTATTCTCTCTGATGAAACAAAGCATCGCCCAGTAGAATCTGAAGAACAACACAGAACAAAAATCTAACTTTAACCAGTAAGAGAGAAATATTGAGCATAACAAAAAAAAAAAAAAAGATGATAAATTGATTAACGATTCTTCAAGAAGAGCTCAAAAGAAGAAAGAAACTAACCAAATTCTCCGCCTTGAGATGAGGACTAGTTTCAGAACTAACAGTAGAGGAAGAAACGAGAAAGCAGCCCTGGAAGTTAAGACCCATACATAGAGAATTTTTGAAATCAGCCCTTGACGAAAACTAGGGATTTAAAAGAGAGTGAAAAAAAGGGTAGAGGATTTACGAGCATTTCAGCAGAATCGTAGAGCCCATGCTCCATTAAAGTCGCGATCTGATCCTTTGGAACCTCCATTAGAGAGAGAAGAGAGCTCGTGGGATAGTGATAATGGTGACTTCAGTGTGAAAGCTTTTTTCTTCGCAGAGCAACGATGAAGAAAGGATCCTTCACGCTCGCTCTTCATTTTGAAACAAAGCAATCTTAAACCGAACCGAATTTAACCGGTTATCGATCTGAAATCAATCTCGGTTCATTAGAACTCAATCGGGTCGGATAAAAAGGCCAAAAAGAGACCCGCTTTTCGCTAAAGCCGTCTTCTTCGGATCATAATCTAAAAGCCGTCACCGGAGCAGAGAGAAACTCACCGGTCATGCGGAATCTGCCGTCCTCGATCTCAGAATCGTCCATGGCTTCATCTTCGATCGGCGAAAAGTGGTGAGAAGTTTGAGAAGAGAGCGATTTTTGCTGCCTTGCGAGCCAAATCATGTCCGATATGCTTCGAAAATCTAACCGACCGACGAGCCGTCGTAATCACGGCGTGTAGGCACGGTTACTGCCTTGAGTGGCTTCAAGAGGAATTGCCCTCTCTGCAACAATCGTTTTGATTCCTGGTTTATCGTCAGTGATCTTGCTTCTAGAAAATACCGTAAGGACAAATTACCGATACTTCGTGATCGTAAGACATTATCGCCGGAACAATCCTTCCGGTTGCCGGAGGATAATTCAAAGGTCAAGGGATGATTTGTAAAACTGTAGCCCAAGATCAAGGCCATTGCCATGGCGGAGATCATTTGGACGGCTAGGTTCAGTTCCTGATCATGTTATCTTCGAGCGAAAGCTTTGATGGCGAGCTAGGTTGGTTTGTTTCTGTAGCCTTCACTTGCAATCTTGTTAGTGTTCGTTCATTTTTCCAGTTATTAACTAGTTTTGGCTCTAATGCAGCATATACAATAGACAATTACGAGCTGTTCGTTTACATTCGAGGCCAAGCTTGGAAATGGTAAGTTTGATCATTCCCTTTGTCATTCTATGTGCTATGTTTGATGTTTGTGTATTGGCAATGCATATGTGTTGCTTTTTTTTGTAATCCGTTAAGATGAGTTTTGCTGGTGAATGATCAGACCAAAGCAAGAATCCATTGTAAGAATCGAGCCATGGATTAGAAGAGAGCTTCAGGCAGCTCTGTTCATCAAAAGGCTTGAGAGAGAGAATAATCGACAATCTGGGCACACCGGGATGTTGGTGGAAGACCAAGTCTCCTCTCTCAGAAAATTCTTGTATGATAAGGAGGATATATTTTGGCATGAACAAATGTAAGATCTTTGTACACTGGGGTTTTTCAGAGTTTCAAGTGATTACGGATTTAGTAGTAAACAAAACGCATAGGCTTGTAAGTTCGAATAAGTATTTGAATATAGAGCTCATATCAGTTTGGTTTGGGTTTTGGTGATCATATGGTTGACGACTGTTTCTGATGAGAAAGAATACATATTTTCAGATGTTTCGCCGAGAGTAGTCTCACGATGGAGACATATGATGCAGTAGTTGAATACAATGAGGTGGAGTAATGGCAGTTAAAAAAAGGCAAAGAAAATGCTTGGGAGGTTAACTCTGCATGTACAACTACGAGAACCAAACTAATTTGTGGGTTCGGGTTCACTATGTTTGCGTTTGTCGGTTCATCATTTTGTATTTGCTTGCAGATAAGCGAGCACTAAGCTCTCGCCATAAACATACGCAACTGCTGGTGTCTTGGAAGCTTAATTCGCGCAAATAGTGGAAAGAGTTGAGCCAGGTAAGGCAAAAATATAAGGTAGTCAAGAGTAAGAGAGTAGGTAGGAGAAAGATGTTGAGATGATGCAAGTTTTAGGTGTGTGGTTACGTTTGAGTTGTTACGTCTTTTTAGCTATAGGTGGATTCTCAAATAGCTGACACTTAGTTTCATTAGTCGAAAGAAAGAAAAGTATAATGTATGTGTCTCTCTACTAAGTTCTTAACCTCCCAACGCTTTTCTTCACCCTCATCAATTTTTCTTTACATTTCTGAGGACCACATACTTCAACAATATCAAACGAAAGGGAAAAATACATTTAAATGTCTCTGTTTTTTTTATAAAACAGGTTACTTTTTCTATATCCGCATTTGTAAATTTTAGTGATTTGTACTTGTTCTACTGTGTTTGTCATTATCCGGATTCAAATATGGTAAAGTTGGGTATGGGGCTTGTAGTTTAGAACTTGTATACAGAACAAAGAAGTTGGTTTTCTTAATTACAAAAGTAGTATAGTTAGCTACAATTTACCAAAACTATAATGAATTAAAAAGTGTGCATGTTTGGACAAATCGGTATACATAAGTTATCTTTTAAACCTACCTTAATGACTAAGGCTAA